CTAGATTCAATGCAGACCTCGGGTTTGCTTTCGTTTGGGCGTTTTGTGGATACATTGGATTCGAGTTGCAGGAATTCGGAATTTGGGTATCCCGGTTATACATAGGGTTGGGATTCCGGGCATTTTCAGAGCATCTAGGATCGGGAGGAATGTCAACCAGAAGAGGGTTGATGCCGCGTATGTTACTAACATCTCTTTTAGTGTTTAGAGATGCTGCGGGCGTATGAATGTGACCCCCTGCAGATGTCTTTGGTTTCTGTAAGCGCTGTTTTCTTCGCATACCTTTGGAAATTGTCTTCATGAACACCAGGTCATCCTTGCCCATGTATGCGGCGACAAAAGCTTTAAACCTTGTGTCACCAGTAGCGACATCGCCAATTTCCGCTGTAGCATATTTTTTCATGTCATTAATATTATCTTCTTCCTCTTCCTCCTCGTCATCTCCAGTGTATCCAGCTCTCCCTGCTTCTTCGGTCCCTGGTCGGAAAGCTGTTGGCATCACGCCGTTTCCCAAGAGGACGTTTTCTGCGACCTCTGGTATCACATCCGAGACAAGGTCTTCTGCCATGATGGTAGATGTGGGTCTTCTGTTAGATACTGGTGGTTCCGGTGAAGGGTTATGGCGATACGTTCACCACAGCCGCACGGTAGATTTTATTTCTCGATAATGTTTGAAAGTTGCACTTTTTAGGCCGTAATAGATTCATTAATTTCAGTTTACAAGTGTCATTACATGCATTTCCTGTTGTATTGCCTGTTGCTGTGCTCATCAGTAAACATTATTTTTCTACTCTTAAAGCTAACAGGTACAATCAGACCAAGAAATTGGAGTGTCGATGGCAATTTCTTAATACAATTTACTAAATGCACCTAATGTGTCTACTCCTGGTACGTGATTTTTTTTACACCACTGTATGTTCCTTTTATATTGAAGCTGCCCAGGTGGCAAGTTTCTTTACACTTAAACGCACCCCCTATCCCAAAGAATTGAGCCTGCCTGATACGTACATCACAATTAATTGAAACCCCAATTTCAAACAACGCCCATTGAATCCATGACTGTTTACTCGAATACTGTAACTTTCCAAGTTTTCAATCATTGTACAAATGGTTTTGATTCAGTGGGAAGGAACTTTAGATATACCATTCAGCCACCATCACATATAAAATGAATAGAATACTTCACTACATCAATTAAAGTAGCAGAGAAAGCCAAAAAAATAATAAATCAGAGCCTTGTATCCTCTCTTCATATTTATCTGCCATCCATAAAAATCACTTACTGTGGCCTAACCATAAAATACTCAGATCGTCCTGGTGCCCACGTACGTGTCATTGAGGCCATGAGAGTTGAGGTCAGGCCATAGTCAGACAATATTATTAGTAGAAGTAGAAGTTTTTTCCAGACAGTTGTTACTTGTCTCCTGTTACTATATTGCAATGTGTTTTATTCTTGTATTGTAAAAGCAATTAGCCTTCGGGCATGATTTTGCGAATAAAGTTTCTATTAATTAACAACATTACTCTGGTAATAAAACAGCTGGTGTTTTTCGATTTAACAATGTTTTAAAAAAATATAAATGTAAAGAAACCCATCGCATAACCGGGCTCTTTTTTTTATCCAGATCAAGCATAGACACTATAGTGCGTACCGCTAGTTCTAGACCTTTTTTTTGCTACCGCTTCCTGGTCTACTTTTAATTATCAACTTGTTGTTGGCATTATATAGTACATTCAGAAGAATGATATTTTAAGGGCAATTTATTTACACATGGTAAGAAGAATGCACAACACGATAATGAATTAGCACGACAGCTTTATTTCAACTATTTAATCTTTAAATCATAATCTATCCTTGACAATCCTTAACAAAGCTACGAAAAGCATAAACGAGCTGTAAGCTACATTACCACCGATAAAGTGACCGTAAAATAACACAATTTTTGACTATGTCTGGGGATACTTATATATATCCACCAACTACAAACATGTACCTTACCTCCTGGGGTAGTTGGAGGCTGGCTATATTTGATCTTAAAAGTTTTTCGCTAAGATGCTTTTTTATGAAGTCGAAGAAAATGGTTATTTTTTTATTGCTGTGCCCTAGACTAGTTCATTTGGTCATAAATGTAGACAGTTTTGGTCATTAAAACCATTCTAGTATACATGGGATCGGCATATCTTGAATAAATATAATCCTTAGGTGTAACATATTAGCATCTTAAGAATAATAATGATTAGATAATGGTTTCTTTATCATGAAGGAAAACGGTGCTCTTTTTAAAGACTAATACATGTAGGTACCATGTCGCAAACTAGTGAGGAAGTGAATCTTGGCTACTAAATATCACTAGCTACATTGTTAACTTTGGTCAGTTCTCATGTTCAAGTTAGCATGATTTCATCTTTATAATGTCTGTATATCTAATTTTTGACATTTGATTATCTGTTAGCAATTTAGAACAAATAGATATGTTCTTTCAAAATACCGGTGAGAACATTACCTTTTTCATTACTTCTTGATCTAAAGAAACTGAGCTGTCGTCTAGGTTTTAAAGGTAATATTCTGTCACACGTGCACAATATGAGTGTCCAAAAAGTCAGCAAACAATGATCCATTCCGCAGCAGGTGGAGGGGCTCATTAAGCCTGTAGAAAAAGAGAAGTGAAACGCATATGATGAACATCTAAACTCCGCCCAGATTGTGTAATATTGGCATAGTGCCCAAACTTGTCAAAGGTACCCAAACCGAAGCAAATACGGGGTAGTAAAACTGGATTTTTTAAGTCAGTTTTCTGATATTTTTTAAAAGTATACTGTCGTAATTTCAAAATCATATCCAGTTGCTTGACTAACTGCTTTTTGGCGTATCGTATTACCTGGATGTCTAACCTTCATCGACGTATACTGTAGTAAGTTTTAAAAATCTCTCCTATTCCATAGCATTATGATATTTGTGAGGCAAAAATGTGTAGCTTTCTTCTGGGCTATGTCAAACGCTTTGAATGACGAATGATAAAAATGTGATAAAATACGTTCGCTGAGAACAGATAATAATTACGCTGGTAAAGATGACGGATGATATTCGAAAGTTCAATTCTTGTTTAGGCCATGTTGATTTGATTATATGGATGACATCCTCCGGGAGCCCCAAAACTGATGCGCGCGTGCGAATAAAAAAAAAGTTTTGCAAAAAAAAAGTTGCTTTCACCATGAAATCTACGTGGTCATGAAGGTTGAACAAATGGCACAGAATATGTTACGGCGAATAATCTACTCTTCAAATTCATTTCTTTACATTTTTGTCTTTTTTCCTTTGATTTTGGCATTCTACGATATTGGTATCGTTTCTAAATGTTTTCCTTGCAACTTATGGTATATTGTTGCTCATTTAGCAACTGTTTTGCACGATTTACAGTATGGTTGAAAACTTTTTTTTTGGAAATGGCCGAAAATTCATGCGCGCGCGGATGTCATCCATATAATCAAATCAACATGGCCTTAACAAGTGGTTGTGAATGAAAGAATTTTGCTGTTCAATGTTCTACCTACCCTAGGCACACATCTCCCCTCGGATTTCTCCATTCCAGTGCCGCAGATGATGAAGTCATCTCCGGGCACGTCGGACTGAGACACGCGCATGATCTTCACCTCATGGGCGCCGCTCCCGAACGCGTAGTAATACAGAGAGAGGACCTCGTCGAACTGGTGATCCATCCAGATGCGAATCCGCTCCTGTAGGCATGGTGATTGCAAAAACAATAGAGAGAACTTTATTGCACGACAATTGCATATGGCAAACTACATAAAGAGAGTAACAAACAATAAAATAAATGTGTTGAATACGACCTACTGTCGAATAAAACTAACATATCTTAATTATTCAAACAATAAGGGATAGCACAAGTCTTTGATAAAGTGTTACAATAGAGTGGGCTAATCACAAGTTTCGGTATTTTTTCTAATAACAAAGCATTTCTTTATACATCTACCTACTTTTGCGTTTACATGTAAAGATATATTCAAATCTGTCTCCAACATAGAGACTCTTGAAATCTGTTGTACAACATTGTATCATCATTCGGTGACTGAGACATGCTTCGGCATACACTACTGTGATGTTGCACATCGAAAGGCAAATCTAAAAGAAGCAGAAGACAAAAGCTAGACTATCATGATACATTTTGTTCTCCTGTCTCTGACCTCATTGTCTTGTATCTTGCCGTACTGCACAGTTGTAGTTCCTGCCGTGATGTCCTCAGTGATGCAGACGAAGTAAGACTGGTACAGAGTGGCTGTTCCCAGGCCCTTCGCCGCACGTTCGAGCTGGCTGGTCACCAGACGCAGGGACTGGGTAGAGGAAGAAATGACTTCATGTAAACATCATTACTTGGAATTTTTGGCGACGTCTCAGGGAGGAGCCTAATGGTACAGTAGTGTGTGCAGTTTGCAAGAATTCTAGGAATGGTACAGGCATTTTGTCCACATGAATGCAATGTCCACAGGCATGTCTCTGACCCACAACTATGCCCACATTCCTAGGAACCCTTAGGAAGACCCCCTCTCTTCCCGGATGTCTGTCTAGACTTAACAGATACCAAGTCTTCCTCAAAGTCATGAAATGATGGCAGTGCCATGAAAACAATAACCCTAACAGCAACCACCGTCGCCATGGCAATGTATGTTTTTTCATTGCCAGTCTTGTTGTCTTTATTACCTTAACCTCATGACCCGTGTGTGCTGAGCTTCGACCTGCTTACCTTTCCGTGTCCTATTATTTTGCCTGATAGCTGAGGGAGGGGGATCTTTACTAAATATAAATAGTATAAAAAAAGGAGCAAAAGTGGTAAAACAGCGTCTGCTGGATTACCCAATGTTAAGCAAGTGAAAAGACATGCATTTAACTCTGTGCAGTGCAGCAGAGCTTCGGAGGGGACTGCCCTTTGGCTTTGGTCAGAGCCCCCTGGTGCTTGAAAAGGAATATTATTTTGTAGACTTAACGATTAGGCAAAAATCATTGTGTATATTTAGCCTATGTATGGTGTATACTTAGCCTATGTATGGTGAGTACGGACTAACGTGTGATATATCATGATTGTACTAACTCTATACATAGCCACGCCGTCTGGAGAGATCTCTACGGTCAGCCAGGTCTCATGATCGCGAGGAATTCCGGCGAACACCACGAAGATGTCTCCCTCTGATGCCGCCGTGAAGTGGATGCACTTTCCGCCGTCGGTCGGGTCGATACGGTGGGCGTTGGACCACCTCAGGTTACACGGTATATCTCCAGTCGACAAACTGTAAACATATTTTGTTTACAGTGTGTAAACATATTTTGCTAAAATGGGTGCCATTCTACTTGACTTCACAATGTATAACAGGGTTAGCGCCATCTGGCGACAAGCAGTCGAAGCTGCCCGGATGAACTCTTTCCCGGAAAAAGTGTTGGCAGGAATAAAGTCCTAGCTTGTGTCAGCCATAGATATTACGATTTACAATTGTCGGTGTAGGAATCAGACGAACCAAGACAATTAACGGTGTATGAATCAGATGAACCAAGACAAGACACGATAAGGATGTGTTTACAATCATCCTTGATATGTCATTGGCAGAAGGTGACGAGATACATACGCATTGGAATCACTAAGGTGCCGCAGTAGCGATTTGTGCTCTGCCCTGGCCACAGGCAGGCCGTTCATCCAGTCAGGCAGGTCCTGAATAGCCTGTGCGGACGCCTCGAAGTCTTCTGGAGTCACGGTGAACAATCCTGTATCCTCGTCGTACGTCATGACCAGACCTCCTACGCTAACCTGTGGGCACGCGGAATAATAATGATAATGATAATAATAATAATAATGGGTAATATACATGTTTGTAGTACAAACAGCTCTAGATCTACTCTAATACAAAGGTTCGGCTTCTTCTCGTTTCTTTGAGGTCACATTTCCAAACCGGGGCCCGACCGGGCAGTCTCATGGAACGAAAGGTATGATATAAAAGACAACAAAACACACAAAAAGAAATGTTTGATAAATGATGGGAACTATTTTTATGTATATTCATGCTATATTTTTTTTTTATTTTTCGTTAACCAAAACAGTCCGGCCGGGCCTTGGTTTGGAAAGGTTTTGAAAGAAAAAAGCGAAAACCAAGAAGCCCTAGAACCAACAATAAAAAAATTGGCTAAAGAATACACGATGTGTGCAGTGGTTACGTGTCTCATGTATGAGCTCTCTGCAGCAATTACATTCGATAACATGTGAATAAGGATCGCTACAGATAATGTTACATTGTTTTGTTTTTTTAATTTTTATCTTATTTTCCTTTTTTATTTCCATTGTTTATTCAAATCATGGAGTCAAGTACAATTACAAGTACATATACATACACAACTACTTTTAACAAAAACTTTTACAGCCATATCCCCAAAATACACGGACCAATCACAAAGACAGACACTAAAAAATTATGTCTAAGTCACTTAGACACAACAGGTCTTTAGACTGCCACAGATATCACAGATGAAGTTTCTTGACATTGTTGTAGAATGAAGCTTAAATCTCCATTAACAATAAAGGTTTGTTAATTCATACCCTATTAAAGCCCATAAAAATACTCATGTTAATCATGTTCACTTAAAGAGTCTTAAGGAGACATTAATTTCAGATATTTTCAGATTTCAGTAATGTGAAGCCTCTGTCTTACTTTAATATTCAACATGCTAGGATACATACATCACATACAATCTAAAAACATAAACAATCATCATTACATCAGTTGTCCAATTCTTGGACGTGACAATAACGTTACCTTGTTCCTTGTGACGTCCCCACTGTTGCCATTTCTGTGTCCGTCGTACGTGTGCGGGTGGAAGCCGTCCCTCATGGTCAACCACCTGTGCTTCGCGTACTTCAGACGGACTGAGGACCTGTTTGTTTGTTTATTAATATTCAGAGAGAAGAACAATAAAATAAACATATTACAGTAAAATAGGATATGCAGAGGAAAGATAAGAAGCCATAATGGCTTGTCCATGATCTTCCCCCGACTAAATTAATTGACAACTGTAATAATGGTAACAAATCAAATGGTAATAATAAATAACAATAAGTAATTGAAAAATTCGATCAATATTATAACGGTAACAAATCAAATAGTAACAATAAATAACAAAATTAGTAATTGGTAAATAACGTTAATTAGAAATTGTATGTTAAAAAAATAAGTTAACAGAGGTTTAACTGAAGTACAAACGTAAACAAAAAAAATGAAGCAATAACTCCAGAATATATAAATGGATTTTAAATCTAAATATTATATAACATGTAACGGAAAATTCAAACTTATACTTAGTATACCTGGCCACCAGGAAGTTGGGGATGTCCACAGGGAGGTCGAAGAGGACGTTGAACTCTCCTCCGCTGATCATGTCCTGCCAGCTCGGGGCTCCGACGTTGGAGTCATGAAGGAGTGCCAGTTCCGAGGTTTCACACCCAGGCTCCCCGGCAGGGAGGGAGAAGTCAGCACTGATAAGTCGACCCTATACGGACAAATCATCATCATGCCTCCGGATTAGTTTATATTAATCCGGTGAGGTACACTTGATAAAGTTACTCCAGTATGTCCTATCTCTCATAGCGGACACTAATGCAGGCCCTGCGAGACCAGTGTCTCTCTCTAATATGAACAAAAGTGTTGTATAAGGCCGTCCCACTCTACGTCTCCCAGTAGGAAGCCACTGTACTAGTCCACCAGCTGGTTCCTTACTACTAACAACATGCCCTGCCAGGGTGAATCTACGTCGTCGGACTACAGATGAAATGGGCGGGAGAGAGCCATAGAATTGTTTGTTTGTTAGATGTTGTCTCCATGAAACATTATTACATACACTGTTCTTAACATTCTTGTATATGTACCATTTAATTTCTTGCTCTGGACAAATAACATAACATAACATAACATAACATAACATAACTTTATTGTGCAACAGTTATACAGGGTACGGAGTATGGCATCTACTAACTTAAGTAAATACAAATCAACTACATTTTCATAAGGCTAACCTAACCAATACAAAAGTGGGTGGCTAGTATGAGATAGGTATCAGCTTACACAATCTTAGGAAGAGTTTCTAATATCCATACAGTCTTTAATATATATCCCTATGTAGAGCATGTAGGGGTTGTCACAAGTCAATATGTATTTAAATTTACTTTTCAAGTTCATGGTGGTAAATGCTGAAAAAGAATCTGATAGTCTAGTGTATAGTGTATTGCGTATATCAATATATTTAGGACACACAAAAAGAGAGAGGGAAATATACAACTTGTACAAATGAAGCATGACGGAAATTAAAGTGGAATACGTCCAGTGTGTTGGAGAAACAAAGATAATATAACCGGTATCACATATGAGAATAAACCAGAAAGAATGAAAGAATATAAGGACATAAGGAAGGAAAATGGTACCAGAAGAAAGAAAAAAAAAAGAACTACTACTACTACATTCATAAATGTGTATCGTTGGTACGAATGTGGTCTACCTCAACCAGATACACGGCGATTGCACGCTCCAGAGCCAAACGGCGGTTGGTCACGCTCTCCGTGAACTTTTCCTGCGTGTCAAAGTTGCAGTAACGGATGTTTGCGTGATGCTGTGAAGTGTTGGGGTCCTCAGAGTCTTCTACGTAGTACTTCCGACCCTTGTCGTCCACACTAAGGTCCTTACTGCAGGACATACAACATTAGAACTAGACATGATCATGAGAAGGCGCGGAGCATACCTTGTATTGTGTGCTTTCCTTACATCATCTGATGCTTCTTAAGGAGCACACCCATTCCATTATATGAATATTGATTGATGCAATGTTATATTTGGCTCCATTACATACCTTGTCGTCGTAATGGGAGTCGTAGATGGGAAATTTACCAAACTGTTAAATGGTCACTGTTATCAATAAACATAAACATAAACCCAATGCATACTTGTACTTATAACGAACCTTCCGAAGCAGCCGTAGTCCCGAATACCATGGGGGAAGAGCGTGTCAAAATTCATGTCGAAGAGATCCGTGATCAGCTCCAGAGTGAACTCAAAAGCTTTCGGGTAGTCCTCTATGGAGTCCAGCCACGCTCTGAGCTCGGATCCGAAAGACGTGGTGTAGAACTCGGTGATGGCGGTTGCAATCCTCTGGTTTCCTCCCTGCACGATCATCATCTCGTTGCTGTAGTCCACAGAATTCCTGTAAAAAAAAAAAGCAGTGATCATAACAACTTGTAATGCAGAACTTCGCTGCTCTAATACTCGAAGGACAAAGATTGCTTCATTACGCAAAAGTACAAAAATATACTTTTCAATGATATATTAGAAAATATGGCACAATGCCAATGATGAAAAAACCAACAGAATTCTTTAAATATAAGATATCAAAGTCTATCTCTGATCTTTTGTTTCAAACTAGTTGACAGAGATCAACGATAAGCAAGTTTCGAATGAAAAGGATCAGGCTAATCTAATTAGGCCACACAGATTTAATTTTATGGATGACATCCTCTGAAGACCCCCAAACTAGTGCGCGCGGGCGAATAAAAAAATGCACTGAGCGGGAGCTGACTAAACTGGGAATGCGCTGGGAAGATGTCGAGGGGAAAGCCCAGAACCAAGCTGAATGGAGGAGAAACATCGGTGGCATATGCTCCGCATGGGACCAAGGGCCAAAGTAAGTAAGTAAGTAACGGCTGAATAATGCAAGTCAAAGCTGCTATTCAAATATCATTGAATTGACTACATATCCAAGACTACCCAGGGAAAAAAGAGGGGTAGTAGTAAATCACCCACTCAAAAAAAAAAAATAACATAAAGATTGGTCGTTTTACGTGCTGAAAAATAAATGACCGAATGAGACAACCGGAATTGTGAAGTAGTTTAACAGGAATAAAACTCGCCTGGCCGCGTGTTCTTGTGCAGACTCCTGTTCGGCCGTGTTCTCAACTGCGCTGCCCGAAGAACGCTCACTATCAGACTTGAGCTCCTGATCGTGCCAAAAGCTGCTGGACTTGATTTGTGTCTGCCACGACGAGTAGGTACTGAAGAGCTGTTTGAAGTCAGCCTGGGAAGCCTGGGCGAAAGCGGTTTGTTGGTCTTCATCGGAGGCTTCAAAAACCTTAATGACTTTTAACTGTCCACCGAACTTGGCAGAAGTGGTATAATGTGTTCCCCAGCGTAGGATGAAGTCCTCTAAACAAGGAAAGATGGCATGTCACAAGTCAGCATCGCTCACAGGACCCTTCTCGCAGTCAAATTTCCGCCCTCATCAATATAAGTCTTCAGACCTATGCATGTACGATTACAGATATCAGAATCAAGATTTAAACACTAAGTAAGTATATCTTATCTGAATCCCGTCTTTGCGTGGTTGATTTGAAACCGAATACTACAGAGATTTGAAAAAAAAAGAAAATTCAAACCACTACAGATCAATCTGGTATCATCGCTTACGGAACTCCCTCTCTGCTCCTATGGCGAAGTAGGTCGAAGGCAGAGCCACGAAATCCCTCAGGAGGCCCAGGTTCAAGTCTTCAGGTATGACGAAGTCAAGGAAGATTTCATACCTAGTAAAAGTGACACCCTCGACATAGGTACTTATGTAAGGTTATTTGTAATTGGGAGATTATGTGCAAGCTATAGGTATTGGTGCGCCAGTCACTTTCATTTTATGTTTATGTTATACTTTATGTCATCTTTATGTTTACTTTTGTATTATGTTTTATGAGCAGCGGATTCACATAAGCACAACAAGTGCTTCCTATCCAATGCTCAAAAATACATGTGAATAAAATGAAATAAAAATTATGTGCATGCATTTTATCGCTAACCTGTGTATTGTTAATAACAGTTACAGAACAAACACTGCCCATTATGCTTATGATAGAATTAACGCAAGAGGAACTACCAACCTGAACACGTTAAGCTCCAGCATGGCTACGAACGTTTGGGTGGAACGCTCAGCAAGTTGTTGAGCAGCAGCTGAGTGGGCTGCGAAAACTGAAGTCTCCCTGTCGCTCCCCCATTGGGCGCTGAACCCTGCTCCGACTGAACCCACAAGTCCGAAGATGGGGCTTACGGCTAGATGTCCCTGAACCTTGTTCATCTCCTGTTGGAACATGGCGGTAGCAGACGTCACGGCAGACTTGTCCTCCAGGTAAGCTCGGTACTCCTCCATGGAGCTAAAGGAGTAGGTCTCCACGTCGGTGTCGTATATGCCTTGCACGGTCATCTGATCAGGCACGTGGTACTCCTTGTATCTAGGATAACGTATGTTTTACTGGGTTATGAAGAAATACCAGTATAGTACAAATCTCTATCTCTGCAAGTAACAGACAAACAAAAAACGTTAAACAGAAGTTATGTCCTCTTTAAAACTTACACTTGTATCTGTTAACTTACTAGGCTACCGAAGATCAAATGTGGCGTGTAGTTGTTAAACATGAGACAGCATTGTGTTGCAAAACATGCTATCAGCGTACAATAGTCGATGTTGCAAGTTGTAGGAATCAAGGTATGTAGAAGACATTATAAAGTAAGCAATTTGAATTAAAGGTCTTTTATAAGCAAAATCATATTATGAACATGGAGTTGAAACGTAGCCACGAGAAGTGTCGAAACTTTAGGCCAAGAAAAAGAAGAACAACGTTTAGGAATCAGAAAAGCAATCTTACAATGATACAACGGTAACATTTTGTAACATCACCCAAACTTACGTTATTGATACTAAACGGTTTGTATTAGATTAACTCCTACATAGCCTACAAAACAGGTTCTTCCTTACCATTCATTATTATTCAATACCATATACACCGTGTTGTCATTTCCAGCCATTTGCTGCTCCCTGTTGTTTTTGTCATGTATTTTGTCGCTGTATACCTGTATGTCTGGTGGTGAGGTTAAAATTAGCTACAGCTAGAGTACCTCACCACCATGTCCTGTATTATCCACTAAAAATCTCACAATGGCTCTTTCTCTTAGGAAAGAACAAACCTACCCCTGTAGACTATTACAGGCTCGCTGGATGAGGCTCTTCTTCCTGGAGTCGGTGGAGTATTCACCACGTCCGTCAAACCCAACACCCAGGAAAGTCGCTCCGTCAATGACATTCTGTGTGAAGAGTAGAAAACGATAAATATTTCGTTCATTTGTATGCTGTATATGTGTTCCCACAATAATCATGACAGCCCTACATGTCTACCTTTACGTCATGAATGAATGAAATGTTTATTCGTCAAAACACATTGTAGCCACAGGCTGAATTGCGTGTTTTACAACAATGACAGATTTGAAAATACAATTAAAAGAATATGCTTAACTACATTAAAAGTAATTAAGGGAAGGAAACCTATATTATATATAAAAATCGGATATATACAAGTCTCAGCGTTCTATGACCATATGTACTGTTTGCAATCACTGTTACTGCTTGTTTAAAAGGTGGGTCATATAAACAACTGGGCTGTTCTGAAATCGTTTTGAATCATGATATCATTGCATTGACTTAAAACGTAGGGTCTATGGCACATAACTGTGAAACACATTATTACTATCATCCTGATTACCATCTTCGTCGACAAAGACTCTGATCGCAATCTCTGCTCTGCAAGACCGCAATTTCTAACCTTACATACATCCTTTACAAGCTCAAATACATTGTACCAGCAATAGGTTCAGTCAATACGTACGGCGCAGGGCGCTATGGGCACCGCAGCTTCGCTGCACGGATCTTCCGATGAATTTTTGCTCTCGAAGCAGCTGTTCATCAATACAGACCCCAGACCCATGGGGTAGAACATCGGGGTAATAGCGTCATCGCTGCCTTCATCATCGCTATAAAAATAACCATATCTTTATGTGTTATTTCAGGATCACACATCTGGACCATGGGGAAATTATTATAATTTTTATTCATTTTTTTATTTATTTATTCATTCATTCTTTATTTCAGTCACCAAGGCCCATATCATTACATAAATTTAAAAAAATTAAAAGCATACGCACGAAGATAAATGCATCAATGCAGGCAATAGAACAAACCTAACGTGAGTAAACTGTAACGAACACGTAGCTGTTTCAGTAGCCATGGTAGCCCTCTTACCGTGGTCCTAGTCTCTACCNGAGCCCCTACCGTTAATCATGCTCAGCTTGGCCTTAGCATCGTTGATTCAGAAACAATATTATATCAGTGTTTAGACACACCTGTATCCATAAATGACACTGTAAGCTTTATCTAATAACCAGTTATCGAAAATATATATCTGGCTTCGAAATAAATGTTTTCAAATGGGTTACATTTACCACTAACCTTGTAAAGTACTAGTAACGACAGCACTGGTTTCCAATGTTCTGGCTTGTAGACTTACATTGGCTGCGGCAGTAACATGCCCAGTTCGACATACAGAGCTTAACTCTATACTGGTAAAAATCTGACGGCAATTAGACACCACATTTACAATGCGAAATCAATTAGTACAAATGTATAACATTCGTCGACCGCAAGGATTATCATTATTTGACGAGGGTATGAGGTCGTGGAATGTGTTTGTGTTATTAAAATAAAAGCCACGTTTGCACGTGCTGGTTCCATTTTAGAAATCACTATACAAATTATTTGATAACATCGACTCGGAGTTATATGCTTTTTAAACAATAATTTACTGGCATGGGATGGGATGGAATTTTATTAGTATTTACTTACTTGGGCCCTTGTGTTTCAGCATTTTGTTGAAACTGAGATTCAACTGACTCTTTGAACTCCCTAGCTTAAGCGTACTCTTATTTCAAAACCCCTTTTGTCTCATTCATCATCATTGATAGATAATATGGTACCGTGTATCACTGTGCTAACCTGAAGTGTGGTGTCATCTATCACATCCCCTGCCATGGGCAAAAACAACAAGGGGAACGTACATTGGGGAAACAGAGAGGTCTCTAAAAGCCAGGTTTCAAGAACATACACGGTCTTGCTCTGCCAGTGTCAGAGGTGTCTCAACACATTCACATAGAGTCACCCGGACATTTTGTTTCACTTGACAATTAAGGATTTTAGACACCGAACAAGACTTTTTCTTGAGAGGGGTGAAGGAAGTCATATACATCAGGGCCCATCACCCTACATTGAACCGCGACGGGGGCCGACATCGTCTAACATATACCTTTGACCCAGTGTTGACGTCATACTTCAAAGAAGCCACGTGACAAGCTTCACTGGGTCAGTTTACTGAGGAAGACCAGAGTGACTGGTCGGAAGCTCTAGGTGAGAGAATTTTTTGTGTTGGACCAAAAGTTTTAACTTTAAACACTGTGCTAACCTGCTTCACATTTCCACCCACACCGGAGAGCAGGTCTCCGCCGCGGGCTAGCACTTCATCAAACGCCTCGTCTGCCTTGTCAAACTGCCCGGAGAAGTAGCTCTCCAGCCCCGACACCACCTTTTTCGTTCAACAACATAAAGAGTACAAATCACAGTGGTAGCAAATTTCTAATGTTATTCTTACCAATAACCAAGAAAGATACAATCAATAACAAATAACGAAACAACTAACGAAATAGCAAATGAGTGTTCCAGAATGAAAAGATAACAATTAAACAATGGTTAATATTTTTTAAATATATTCGAACATGTAATCACAAGACGTGGCGGGGACACACTCATGTTTTGCAACTTATATTAATGCCACCACCGACACATGGACAATATAATACTCGTTACAATAATTCCAAACACACCTTCTCCCGGTGGTTCTCCACGACCGCCTCCGCGATCCTGTCCCCGAGCTTGTCCACCACCTTTTGGCCGATGTCCAGGGCGGCGTCTTTAGCGAATTTGGCTACAGCGGCCTTCACGGCTCGCTTCCCGCGATGGTGGGAGCTGTCTGCTTTGGTTGGTGCTGTAAGAAGTGTGTTACCAAGACCAACAGGTAAAATCTGAGATTTTATACCTCCGGGCTTTTTATTGTATATTTTTATGTAGGGTTTGAAGAAAGAATTTATCGAGACCGGACACCCCTCTGTGTGAGGGGTCATATACGGGGACCAGACCGAGAATAGCTTAAACACGCCAAAGGTCAACGGTCGCGACCACTTTCACGCTCAAAGGGGTGTTTTGGGGCCACCAAAAGGCACCATTTTCACGCCCGAAAACACATATATAATAAAAACAAAAGAACGTGTATCATCTGCAGCCCAATAGCAAAACATACACCGAGTCGCAAAAAATCCGTCCACCCAAACGCGAGAAACAGCTGCGAACGTGAAAATTTAAAATCTCCCACAAAACCCTCCCCCGGAGGTAATAAATGTAGAGCACAGGGTAAAATCAACACGCACGCGCGCACGCAAGTAGATTGTGATCGGCTGGTGTTCGGCGAGCTCGGTTACTGTTCAGCTGCGTTTAGTAGGCTGGTGGTTGGCTGTTGTTCATGGGTAGGTCAGCAGTGTTCAGCAGTGGTGGCAAAATAAGAAGATGATGAGAATGTTGACTTGTAGAAGGTTATCGGACTCTGTACTTCAGTCCAGCAGCAACACGTCATAATCCGTACCCTTAAATAGCTAACAGTAATTAAAGAAATAATAATACACAGGCTATGTGTTTTATCAAATCAGTTTGATCATATTTTCACCATGTTAGCTGGGGGGGGGGCGAAGGAAAAGATGGTACGGTGAGCATCTTGACTTGTAGATGGTTATTGTGCTCGGTACCTGTACAAGCCAGAGGTCGTGCTGCTGCTTTTATAATATAACATTTTCGTAATCTGTACCATTTAATGACTAGTAGACGCTGAAGACTACGTGTTTAAATAACTTTAATCATCTAAAGGATATATTGAAGAAGGGGAAATTTAGCGGACATACTAGTAATAAGACTACACTGTCGTCTTGATAGACGTCAGGTACCCATTTTACGTCCTGTACCCTTGAATAACAAAAGAAATGATGATGCACTAAGTGTTTCATTAAACAAGTTTAATCATCTTAGTATCACTGTAGCTGGAGGGGTGGTGTCAACGCAAAATAAATGGTGAGCATGTTGACTTGTAGATGATAATCATGCTTGGTGCCTGTACAAGCCAAAGGTCATGCCGCTGCTTTAGAGTTCCACCACTCATTTAAATATTCTGTACCCTTAAATGGCTATAAAAGAATGAGTAATAAGAATGCACAAACAACGTGTCTATTAAATTAGTTTAATCATTTTAAACTTTAACTGTGGCCCCAAAGTATTGGGTTACTCAAAGGATTCACACAGACAAGCGGTTTTTATGAACATATTTTAATAATCTTGGACCTGCTAACTATGGTAGAAGGGGGAAGTTGAGGACACAGTCATCCAAACTATACTGTCCTCGTTATGTATCACCATTACCCGCTTATTCTGCCGGTTCAAGTTGGCGACACTCATTTTCGTAATCTGTACCCTTTAATGACTAGTACACGCAGTATTACAGTAACAAAGATACACAGACAACATGTTTTAGTAAATCACTTTAATCATTAAGAAAATTAAACTGTTTTCCAACTCAAAAAGAAATTAACCAGACATTTTCGACTGAATCACTCGGTCTTCATCAGCTTTATGACCCAAGTGCTGTGAAAAAAGCTAAAAAGGCTGAGCGATTCAGTCGAAAATGTCTGGTGAGTCAATTTCTTTTTGAGTTAGAGAACAATTTAATTTTCGTCATGTATTTTACCAACTCAGATGAACTTTCATGCTTGTACTAGTGCACTTTCATCATCTTAGACGTAAGAACTCAGCCCTAAAGGATTGGGTTTCTCAAAAGATGCACAAAGAGAAATGGTTTTATCAAACAGCTTGATACTAGTAACCTTGAAACTGCTAAATAAATAAAATAAAAGGGATAAAGTGGATTACAATCAGACTCCACTCCACTGTCCTTTTGATAGAAGTCAGGGCCCGGGCGGAGTAAAGAAAGTTGTGTAAAGTGCTACGGTAACATATCACTTTTAATAATCTGTACCCTTAAATAACAGGAGAAATAATGATGCACAGACAAAGTGTTTCAATAAACGAGTTTAATCATCTTACCATTGTGGCTAGGGGGCGGGGCGGTATTTGTAGATATATAAGCCAGAGGTCAAGCCGCTGCTTTAGAGTCCAGCAGCGACACTCATTTCCATTTTATTTTTTGTACCCTTAAATGTCTATAAGTATAAGTAATAATTATGCAAAGACAACTAAAGGATTGGGTTTCTCAAAGGATGCACACAGGTTTTTATAAAAATAGTTTAATAATCTTGGACCTGCTAACTGTTGTAGAAAAGTAGAAGGGGGGAGTTGAGGACACAGTCATCCAAACTATACTGTCCCCGTTATGTATCGCCATTACCCTAATATTCTGCCGGTTCAAGTTGGCGACACACATTTTCGTAATCTGTGCCCTTTAATGACTAATAGACGCTAGAGTAACAAAGATACACAGACAACGTGTTTTATTAAATCACTTTAATCATCTTAAAGATAAGAACGCACACAGACAAGCAGTTTTTAGAAAATAGTTTAATAATCTTGCACCTGCTAACTAGAAGGGAAAAAGTTGAGAATACAGTCATCCAGACTATACTGTCCCCGTTATGTATCGCCATTACCCGCTTATTCTGCCAGTTCAAGTTGGCGACACTCATATTCCTAATCTGTACCCTTTAATGATTAGTAGACGGTAGAATGATACACAGACAACGTGTTTTCTTAAATCAGTTTAATCATCTTAAAGGTTAGAACTCAGCCCCAAAGGATTGGGTTTCTGAAAGGATGCACACAGCGAAATGGTGTTATCAAACAGTTTAATAACCTTGGACCTGCAGGCCTGGTAAATATTTATGGTAGAAGGGGAAAAGTTGCGGACATAGTCAGACTACACTGTCGTCTTTATGGAAATCAGGTACCCATTTTACGCCCGGGGGGAGTAAGAAAAGTTGTGTAAAGTTCCACGGCAGCATCTAACATTTAATAATCTGTGCCCTTGAATAAAAAGAGTAATAATGATACACAAACAAAGCCTTTCATTAAACGAGTTTAATCATCTTATTACCATTGTGGCTGAGGGGGGGAGGGGTCGTCAACGAGAAAAAAAATGTTGACATGTAGATGTACAAGGCAGAGGTCCTGCCGCTGCTTTAGAGTCCCGCAGCGACACTCATTTTCATATTCTGTACCCTTAAATGTCTATAAGTACTAATAATGCACAAACAATGTGTTTTATCAAATCAGTTTAATCATTATAGACTTACGAACTGAGGCCCCATAGAAATCGGTTTCTTAAATAAGTCAAACAGACAAGAGGTTTTTATGAAAATAGTTTAATAATCTTGGACCTGCTTACTTTGGTAGAGGGGGAAATTTGAGAAAGCTATTTCAAAGAATACTGTCCTTTTGATGCATCGCCCTAATCCGTTTATTCTGCCAGTTAAAGTTGGCGTAAATTATAATGCTTCTATATCACACTTCCTTCTTTTAGCTGCCAGCATTCATTATGCATTAGTTGTGCTGTACCTTTCCTGTTTTCTCGCTAGTGTTTTATCAGAAAATGATATACAAACATGCTGAGGATGTCCTATTGTACATGTCATGAAATCATGTCCATATGTTCAGCGGTGAGCACGTCTAAATTCTAACATAATGGTGATTTATGCTTATTTGGTCTTACAAAAAAGAGATTTCCAAAACTCACCTGCCAAACCTCCAGAGATGCAGGCCATGACTGCACAGAAACAGAGAGCTAGTCCCTTCCACATGTTGTCTCAAACTTGAGCGGCTTCTTCTGTGGTCTGTTGTCTCTCAGGCGGGTGCCGGAGAAGTCGGTCGGGGATGTGTTGACCGGCGGTACTGGGCTGGACGATCGCTTGGAGAGACCAAGTAGATGTCCGGCAGGCGCCGACGAAAAATGATCCAGGGCGGCGTCGGTCTGACTAATATAGCACGATGTGGGCGGAGTTCTGCCACTCTGTGATTGGTCAAAAATGATCTCATTCATAACAGAAATGATGTCATAAACCACGAGGCAAGCCCATCTCGGGCATTTTGGGACATGTCCGGCCAATATTGATTACTAGGCCATCACCATCAACACGGGGACCGGCTATTCAGACACAGTGTGTTGGTCAATCCTGGTGGTCTATCCTGTTCCATCTATCAAACCTGTCAGTGATGCACGCAAACATAATGAACACCTTATTTAATCATCAAAAGTTGCGAAAACAGCCTTAATTTTAATGAACTCTATCTAGGCAGAGATTTAAGGGGAATCTAGCCAATAATGATTTCTAAATCAACAATCATCTGTTTCAGGGTGAAACATTTGTTCCTACACAAACGATAAATGTTGCCATATAAAGATAACATCAACAATTATAATTATTCAGTAAGATCAGTTGGACTAGTAAAAAGATCAAAATGCTGGTTATCCACAAAAGCACACCTTAGAATGTAAAAGAAACCACATATAAATGCCACCCTGTAGATAGTCTATTAGACACTTGTTACTTTGTTGGTTATACATGATACAGTCCTGTTTGCGTGCGTCAAAGATTGATTTCAGACGCGACAAAAACACGTTGACAAGGTTTATCGACGCAGAGACCGGCTCTTCGATTTTACAAACACATTACTGAAAAACAACCTGGTATTTCCATAACTAAGAAGCTACTTAAGGACACCCCCCTCCCATTGAAGGACCACCCGACAGTTATCTTCTACTAAAAAGAACTAGTCATCATGCAGAGACAACACATGTAATGACAATCGGCATGTCAACAGCGGTAAATTAT